TTATCTATTTCTTTATGTTTAAACATTCTATCTCCAATGGGGTCAATTTTGGTAGTCTGTATTTCTCTAGAAAATTATCCATTTCATTTAGATTTTCAAATTTATTTGTATAGAAGTCTGAAAAGTAGTCTTAGAGTTTTAAACTTTGTTTCTGTTTCAGTGATATTTCCCTCTTATTATTTCTTGTTTTTGTGTTTATGCTTTCTCCCTTTTTTCTTCATTAAAGTAGGGTAGTAGTTTGTCTGTTATGTTAAATTTTTCAAAATAACAGAATTTTTTTTTTTTGCTGAGAAATATTCCTCCTGAGCTAAAATCTGTGCCTGTCTTCCTCTATTTTGTATGTGGGTTGCTGCCACAGTGTGGCTGACAAGTGCTGTAGGTCTGCGCCCAGGATCTGAACCCATGAACCTGGGCCGCAGAAGCAGAGCATGGTGAACTCAACCACTACGCCATGGGGCTGGCCCCCAGAATAACAGGATTTTGATTGCTTATGTCTACTCTTTCTATTCTTTACCCAGTTGATTTCTGCTTTTATCTTCCTTGTGCTTTTTTTTGGTTTACTTTGTTGTTTTTCTAGTTGCTTGAGTTGGGAATTTAATTCATTTTCTTTCTTTTTAATAACAGTTTTATTGAGATATAATTCACATACCATAAAATTCACCCTTTTTAAGTGTACAATTCACTGATTTTTAATATATTCACAGAGTTGTGCCACCATCACCACTATCTAATTTCAGAACATTATCATCATCTCAAAAGGAAACCCCATACCCATTAGCAGTCCTCCCCATTACCCTCTCCTCTCAGTCACCTGGCAACCACTAATCTGCTTTCTGTTTTTATGGATTTGCCTATTCTAAACATTTCATTTAAGGGGAATCATACAATGTGTGGCCTTTTGTGACTGGCTTCTTTAACTTAGCATAATGTTTCACAGTTCCTTCATGTCACAGCATGTATCAGGACTTCATTCCTTTTTATTGCTGAATAATATTTCATTTTATCATTCTTTCTTTCTTGTGTTTAGTGCTTTGTATTTTCCTGATTACTGCTTGAAACATACCACATTGATTCTGATATGTAATGTTTTCTGTATCATTTTTCAGAAGTTTTGTAATTTCCATTTGTATTTCCTTTTTTTTTTTTTTTTTACTCAAGAGTTGTTTCATGGAAATATAGTTTTAAGTTTCTGGGTAGATTATTCATTTTTCATTTTATTAATAATTTCTAGTTTTATTATATTGGGATTTGAGAGTGTTGTTTTTAGATTTGGGGGGATTCCTAGATCTATTCTGCTGTCTAATGTCTGTGTAGTAAAGTTCTATCTCTGAAGTGAATTTTTTGAAAAAGAGTTCTGTGTCCTTTGTTTCTTGTTTTTGGTCTTGCAGGACCCTAAAAACTTCCACTTTTGCTTCTTTTCTTTTTTGCGGTTCAGTTGCCAAAGGGTACCTTTCCCTTGTTTTTTCCTCCTAGAAGCTATGCCTTTCCAAGGTTACCGCCTTGAATCTCCTGTACTTTTTAGACTCTTCCCTGTAGTCGTGCTTCGATCTATAGAAATATTTTTTTGGGGGTCGGCCCGGTGGCGCAAGCGGTTAAGTGCGCGCGCTCCACTGCGGCAGCCCGGGGTTCGCTGGTTCGGATCCCGGGCG